GTGCATTTCGCTCGAGACATCCTGCCAAAATTCCAGGGAATCGTACAAAAACAAAGGAATTAGTCGAGACATCATCGAAATTCCTTCGCGCGGGGCGCTTTTCCGCGTCGCGGTCGGCTCTGCAAAACAAGCGTTTCGCTCGAGACATCCTCGGCAAACTCTGCGGAGCAAGCGTTTCGCTCGAGACATCCTCAACACACGAAAAAGTGGCCCGCACCCTGTGAGTTATCGATCGGGATTTCAAAAACAAGCGTTTCGCTCGAGACATCCTCAAATTTTAATTCGCCGGCCTCCTTCGACCTCGTTATTTATCAGGGAAAAAATTCGCCGGCCTCCCTCAAGTTGGCACCGGGGGACAGGTTTACCTACTAAAAGAGAACCCTGGGCCCACGCCCTTTCCGGGAAAAAAGAATCCTGGGCCCACGCCCTTTCCAGTAAACAAAATTCCGGGAATCCTGGTGTAGAGGCTCTTAATAGGAACCTTTTGTGCAGAGGCTCTCGCTGGGAATCCGTTTGTATTGGCTTGCAATAGGAATCATTACGTAGTAACTCACAATAGGAATCCTTCTGTAGAGGCTCTCAATATGGATCCTTGTGCACAGGCTATTGGGAATCAATATGTATTGGGTTTCAATCGGGATCCTGTTGTATTGGGTTTCAATAGGAATGCTTTTTGTAGAGACTCTCAATCGGAATCTTTTTATAAAGGCTTTCAATCGGAATCCTTTCTTAGAGGCTCTCAATAGGAATCCTTTCGTAGAGACTCTCAATGAGAATCCTTTTGTAGAGGCTCTCAAAAGGAATCCTTTTTGCAATGGCTCTCACTAGGAATCCATGTGTTTTGGGTTTCAATAAATATACTTTGGTAGTGGCTTTCAATAGGAAGCTGTCTTGTAGAAACTCTCAATCGAAATCCTTTTGTGGAGGCTCTCGATCGGAATCCTTTTGTAGAGGCTCTCACTGGGAATCCTTTCGTAGAGGCTCTCAATAAGAATCCTTTCGCACGGGCTCTCGAAAGGAATCCATGCGTATTGGGTTTCAATCGGAATCGTTTTGTATTGGCATTCAATCGGATACCTTTTTGTAGAGGCTCTCAATCGGAATCTTTTTGTAGAGACTTCCAATAGGAATACTTATGTAGATGCTTTCCATTTGAATCCTTTTGTAGAGGCTCTCAATCGGATTCCTTTTTGTGGAGGCTCTCATCCTCAAATTTTAACCCGCCAGCGCACCTCGACCTCGATGTCTATCTAAGAATAAGTCAGCCGGCGCACCTCAGTTGAAGCACCGGACACAAAATTACCAAACTAAAAAAGAATCCTGGGCCCACGCCCTTTCCAGTAAACAAAATTCTGGGAATCCTGGTGTAGAGGCTCTCAATAGGAACCTTTTGTGCAGAGGCTCTCGCTGGGAATCCGTTTGTATTGGCTTGCAATAGGAATCATTACGTAGTAACTCACAATAGGAATCCTTATGTAGAGGCTCTCAATATGGATCCTTGTGCACAGGCTATTGGGAATCAATATGTATTGGGTTTCAATCGGGATCCTGTTGTATTGGGTTTCAATAGGAATGCTTTTTGTAGAGACTCTCAATCGGAATCTTTTTATAAAGGCTTTCAATCGGAATCCTTTCTTAGAGGCTCTCAATAGGAATCCTTTCGTAGAGACTCTCAATGAGAATCCTTTTGTAGAGGCTCTCAAAAGGAATCCTTTTTGCAATGGCTCTCACTAGGAATCCATGTGTTTTGGGTTTCAATAAATATACTTTGGTAGTGGCTTTCAATAGGAAGCTGTCTTGTAGAAACTCTCAATCGAAATCCTTTTGTGGAGGCTCTCGATCGGAATCCTTTTGTAGAGGCTCTCACTGGGAATCCTTTCGTAGAGGCTCTCAATAGGAATCCTTTCGCACGGGCTCTCAAAGGAATCCATGTGTATTGGGTTTCAATCGGAATCGTTTTGCATTGGCATTCAATCGGATACCTTTTTGTAGAGGCTCTCAATCGGAATCTTTTTGTAGAGACTTCCAATAAGAATACTTATGTAGATGCTTTCCATTTGAATCCTTTTGTATAGGCTCTCAATCGGATTCCTTTTTGTGGAGGCTCTCAATGGGGATCCTTCTGTAACGGCTCTCAACCGGAATCCTGTTTCATTTGCTTCCAATAGGAATATTTATGTGGAGGCTCTCAATAGGAAACCTTTGTGTGGGGGCTCTCAATAGGAACCCTTTGCAATGGCTTTCAATAGGAATCCTTGTGTAGAGGCTGTCAATAGGAATCCTTTTGCTGACGCTCTCACTAGGAAACTTTTTGCGCAGGCTATCAACAGGAAACCATGTGTTTTGGGTTTCAATAGGGTTGAATACTGGGCCATCACGCGCGAGGCCCGCGACACTCCCTGCCTGGCCAACGCCATGAGCTCAAGGCCCCATGGGGAGGGAGCTGAGGTTCACCTCGGCATGCCTCCTCCTGAAACGGGGCCCTCCTCGTCCTCGTCCTCGTCCTCGCCCTCCTCCTCCTCTTCCTCCTCCTCTTCCTTCTCCTCCTCCTCCTCCTCTTGTTCCTCCTCCTCCTCCTCCTCCTCCTCCTCTTGTTCCTCCTCCTCATCATCATCATCCTTCTTTTCTTCCTTATCCCCCGCCTCTCCCGCCTCCCGGGAACTCGCCAAAGTCGAACTCGCCCGAGTCCCTCTTCTTCGCCCCGAGCGCGGCAGGGGACCGGACGCGGAGGCCCTGGCTGCGCGGAGCGCGGCGAGAGCACGCGCGCGCGCTCGCGCCCTCGAGCGCGCGCCTTCCTCGGGTGTTCATTCAACGAAAGGGCAAGAATGACGATCTGCCAGACCACCCAAAACCCAACCCGAAACCTCGAATTTCAGGTTTGGGGACCTGGTTCCATCTGTGTTTCTTCAATGTTCTTGGACGCCCCCCCTCTGGGGATGGAGGGCAACTTGGGGCCTTCGGGTTGGGTTGGGATGGCGTTGTGGGTGATTAGATAGACGTGAAGTGGGGAGACGCTGGGCCGTTTCGTGCACCCTTGGGCCCGAAAGGTGGCAGCTTAGGGGCCACAATGTCGCAATCCTCGGCCCCACTACGTGCACTGCACCCCCACCCACTTGCCGTTCGCACCAAGCTCGTGGCTGATTTCTGTTCCCGAAGATGCGACGCGCCGGCTCTCTGCGTGGTTCCCGCCGCTCCCTCGCTGCTCTCTGATGCTGCCTCTTCCCCTCGCCTCGCATCGCGAGGGCACGGCTCCGGCACTGGGGGCGGTCGCCGTATGCGCGCTTGAACACCCGAGTACGCGCTCCCCGCAGCTCGCCGTCAGGCCGGTGATGCGTCGCCGCGGAGGGAAAAATGTGCATGCGCGCGCGCGTGCGGGCGTGCACGCGCACGCGTATGACCCGACCACGTTCCTGCGCAGCGGGTTGGCTTTGTCCTGGTTCCTGCGGGCACGCGATTGCTTCAGCGCATCATGGCCCAAGTGAGGGTCCAGAAATGGCTAGACGCGGACTTGTTGTTTCTGGTGGGGGGAAAGTGCCATCGCCTGGTGGGAAAGCCGCCGCCCCATGAGGCGACGAAAGGTCTCGCCAGAAACAGTCCCGAATTCGTCGATCTAGGACTATTCTGGCTGGACTTTGGCACAATCGGCGGGAACCTGTGCGAAACAATCGTTTTTCATGTGTGACATGGCGCCGCATGGCCAGAAACCGAACATGATGGACCCACGAACCCGGAAAGGGATATAGACATGTGGAGCATGGACACGTTTTCATGATACCCAACTGGGCAACACCTCACGAAACATCCCACGAGACACCTCACGAAACAGCCCACGAGACACCTCACGAACATTGCCACGAGACCACCTCACGAAACCTTTCACGAACACCCCGCAAAAGAAAACTATACCCCCACGAAACATGCCACGAACGACAGCAACCACTCACCCAAGGCTGTGTGGTCGCTGGGGAAGTGGTCCGTGCCTGGGTGTGGTCGTGCTGGGGGTGTTCGTCTGGGGGGTGGTCGTGCTGGGGGGGTGGTCGTGCTGGGGGTGGGTCGTGCTGGGGCGTGGTCGTGCTGGGGCGTGGTCGTGCTGGGGCGTGGTCGTGCTTGGGCGTGGTCGTGCTGGGGCGTGGTCGTGCTGGGGTGTGGTCGTGCTGTGGTAAGGTCGTGCTGGGGTGCGGTCGTGCTGGGGTGTGGTCTTGCTGGGGTGGGGTCGTGCTGGGGTGTGATCGTGCTGGGGTGGGGTCGTGCTGGGGTGTGGTCGTGCTGGGGTGTGGTCGTGCTAGGGTGGGGTCGTGCTGGGGTGGGGTCGTGCTGGGGAGTGGTCGTGCTGGGGGGTGGTCGTGCTGGGGTGTGGTCGTGCTGGGGCGTGGTCGTGCTGGGGTGGGGTCGTGCTGGGGTGGGGTCGTGCTGGGGTGGGTTCGTGCTGGGGTGCTCCGCACCCTGTGATTTATCGATCGGGTCGTGCTGGGGTGTGGTCGTGCTGGGGTGTGGTCGTGCTGGGGTGTGGTCGTGCTGGGGTGTGGTCGTGCTGGGGCGTGGTCGTGCTGGGGCGTGGTCGTGCTGGAATGTGGTCGTGCTGTGGTGAGGTCGTGCTGGGGTGTGGTCGTGCTGGGGTGTGTTCGTGCTGGGGTGTGGTCGTGCTGGGGCGTGGTCGTGCTGGGCGTGGTCGTGCTGACGTGTGGTCATGCTGTGGTGGGTGGGTGGGGGGGGGGGGGGTGGGGGGGGGTGGGGGAGGTCGTGCTGTGTGTGGTCCGTGCTGTGGTTGTGGTCTTCTGGGGTAGGGTCTGCTGGGGTCGGGTCGTGCCTTGGGGTGTGGTCGTGCTGGGGTATGGTCGTGCTGGGGTGGGTCGTGCTGGGGTGGGGTCGTGCTGGGGTCTGGTCGTGCTGGGGTGTGGTCGTGCTGGGGTATGGTCGTGCTAGGGTGGGGTCGTGCATTTCGCTCGAGACATCCTGCCAAAATTCCAGGAAATCGTACAAAAACAAACAAATAAGTCGAAACATCATCGAAATTCCTTCGGCGCGGGGCGCTTTTTTTTCCTTTTTTTTTTCCGCGTCGCGTCGGCTCTGCAAACAAGCGTTCTTCCGCTCGAACATCCTCGGTCAAACTCCTGCGGAGACAAGCGTTTTCGCTCGAGACAATCCTCGAACACACGAAAAAGTGGCCCGCCACCCTTGTGTTTATCGGCGAATTTTTCAAAACCAGCGGTTCGCTCAAGACAAAAAACGAGACGAATCCTCAAATTTTAATTCGGCCGGCCTCCTTCGACCTCGTTTATTATCAGGGAAAAATTCGCCGCCCTCGCCGGCCTCCCTCAAGTTGGCACCGGGGGACAGGTTTACCTACTAAAAGAGAACCCTGGGCCCACGCCCTTTCCGGGAAAAAACTCCGGCACACAAGAAAAATAATCGTTGCCCGCGTGCAGGTGACGCCCTTGTCGCTGTGGCTTTTGCGAAGTGAACGCAGGGAGCGACAAGGGCGACACCTGCGCGCGGACTCCGCCTTGTTTGGCGCGCGGAAGCGGCATGTGCCACATGGGTCCCATGAGGTGCGCAAGCCGCAAGGGAGGTGCGCAAGCCGCAAGGGTCGCATGACACAGATGGTCCATATCAGCAGCATATGCCGCATGTGTTGCGTAGGGCCGCAGGACCCCCGTGGAAACTGGTCCCCGTTGCAAGTAGGCCCCACGCCGACCAGGCGAGCTGTCCAGCGAGACCCGAGCCGGTCAGATCAAACTACCATCCAACCAGAACCCCATGTGTTATCTTTTCTATGCACGTTCTGCTGTGAATGTCGGAGTGCGAGCGTATTGGCCTGTGGCGAGTGAGCGCTCCCAAACGGCTGCCCTTTGGGGTGCCCGAGTGACATGCTTGCTACATCGCGATGATCATCTGGCTCCGAAAGAGAATGGCCCATGGGTGCCAAAACCAACGCTTCGCCTGAGAAGTTCCCACAATCTGGCTGCGAACGGGCAAGTGTAGCACCCTCTCGCGGCTACCCCTTTGCGTGCCCCAGAAGCTTCGCATTGAGTATATGTGAATGTGCGTGGTCTGCGCGTGGCGGGTCTCAGTGTAACTGAGTCTGAATGTGGGTGGGTCTGGAAGCGAATAACTCTGAGTGCGGTTGAGTCCAAGCAAGAATAAGTCCGAGTATCCTGCGTCTCCCGGAATAGAACGGCACATTTTGAAACATCCCCACAATCCGACCGCGAACGAGCACTGGGCCTACCCCCTGGCGAGTGTTCTTTGGGGCGCCAGAATGTCACGCCTTCTCTGTCGAGGCTGTCACGCGTATGTCAACCCCTGCGACATCCCCACGGTCTGGGTGCGAACGGACAAGTGTCTCATTCCCTGGCGGCACCTCCTTAGGAAACATAAGTGCTACGCCTGCTATATTGTTGTGCGCCTCAACTCGCGCATGAGTGCATCAACGTATGAGGATTTGAGTATGAATGAGTCAGGATGCGACTGAGTCTGATGATTCTGAAGATGAGCGAATCTGGTGTGAGTGAGTCGACATGTGAATGAATCTGAATGACAGCGAGTCTGAGTGTCAGTGGACCTGCCATGCGTATGAAGTGTGAGTCGGGTGTGAGTGAGTCGGGTGTGAGCGAATCGAAGTGTCAGCGAGTCTGCATGTGAATGAGTGTGAATGCCAGCGAGTCCGAGTGTCAGTGGACGTGCCATGCGTATGAAGTGTGAGTGAGGAAAGCGAGGAGGGGGGAGGCGGGAGGGTGGGAGGCGGATGCGTCACACGAGGACCTCGAGACGGCAGACCAATGCAGCGCTCTGGTGACCCTATCGGGTGCCCCACACAAAGGGCAAGTCGTGGAGCTGGACAGTGACTGAGAATTGGGTTGTTTCCCCTCTCCCCCGCCTCGTCATGCCCCGTCGTCCTCCTCGCCCTCCTTCGGGTCAATGCGCCCCTGGCCCTGCAGGATCCTGCACGATCCAACGCTCTGACTGACCCTCGTTTGCATCGACCCTCGTCTCTTGAGCCCCCAATCACTCGGCGGTGGACAAACCTTCCTTTAGCAAACCACCCTTAATGAAAACGGCATAGGACCGAAACCGACGGACCTGGACCCGCAAAAATTACGGCCGCGACGCCCCCTCGCGAACCGAACACGGCCAACTCGCGAATCGACGTGTCAGGGTAGGAAGTCTATCAACCTCCGAATCACCCCCTTCTGGCTGCCCCCGGTTCTCGGTCGATGTCCTCGCGCCCTCGCGCCGTTGTCCCACGGAAGGCGGCCAGCTCGGCGGCCCCACCCGCGAAGCGCGCGCGCGCGCCTGCGGGGTGGCCCCACAGATTACCAGAGTTTCATTTGAATGTTTGTGTCCAATGCGGGGTTCCCAGAAGACGACGAGGACGACGACGACGATGACGACGACGACGACGATGACGATGACGACGATGACGACGTAGGCGATGTGGATTATTGTTGTTGTTGGTGTTGAACATTATTACTTCTAAAAAATAATTATTGTTGGGGCCCCTGGTGCACGGCCCCCTCGCCGCGCCTAGGCCGCAGCCATGTTTTCATCATTTTCGTGAGGAAATCTCCGGCAAAACGGGTTGGTCCGGATCCGGTTGTTTTGTTACGGGCGGTTTTCCCTTGCAAAAAAAAGGCAAAGTGGACATTTCTTGTTCTAACATAACCAAATTTCAAGAATCCCTTGCAAAAAAAAGAAGGTAAAGTGGACATTCGCGCGCGCAAGACGAAATCCTT